TGTCCGCTTTGGGTTAACCCGCACGGCTTTACAAAACGCGTCTTACCAGTTAGGCCAAGGAGTACTATATGAACCCAGCATCTTCTCTGCCAAGGTGCGATGTGGGACAAGGAGTACCAATACAACCCCCCATAAGGAACGTATCATATAGACTGAGATATAATCAATACTCAATTAGGGAATTATTATTGCAGTTTGGACTTCACAAAGATTGGCAGTTGAGCAAAGGTTAAAGGTCTTACAAAGGTTTTAAAAGTCTTACACTTGAGTAATCTGCCGACTCTCATGATTCCCTCTAAGAATTGTAAGCCTATCTCTATAACGAACTTTTAGAGCCACCAAGAGTGTGACAGTCTCCACTGAATAATACCCACGATCTGCATTTACAATTTGATTAGACTGATCTCAAATAAACACTTGCATTAAACATCCATGACAGAAAGAAATAAACAAACTTGATATGAGGAGTAAATTAGACCTTTAATGACATCTGAAAATGAAATGTGCAACATGTTTCTACAATTACCATATAGTAAAGTAAGCAGCACCTTCCACTCCCATAAGAATTAATTGGCAGAAGTATCGAAATTAAAACAAAATAAAAAATATAATCCCTTTTAAAAGCCATACGAAACGGAATACAATCATGCAAACACTTGTTAGCTCAGAATATACATATTACGTTTTATAGGGCATTTATTACTGCTAATGACATGGCCTTAAATAGTTTATACCTTATCTAGCAAGACAACATAGCCATTTATCAAGACCACATATCACATAATCCCATATCACACTCACTGCAAGCACACGCAATATTGCATCATGAGATGAAATAATTTCTTCAATATCATCACTTAACCTAATTTTGCCTACTTGCCTCTAGATGTGAGCACTCATTCCAACAGGCAAACCCATTGCCTTCTTAAACTTCCATATCGAACTAACATTATATGTTCCTTAGATGCTATACTCGTTACCATGAAGCTGTCGTAGACTTCGAAATAGAAGAAAGCCACTTTCTCAACTCCTATTAACTGACAGCATAACAGATAAACCCAATCAAACTGTCCAATTAATTCTGCAACTATGAATACTATTGAACTTAATCAGTGTAGAAACAGACATTAAGATTCATGCTCAGAATAATGTATCCAGTATCTACTAAAGCTGAATCCTGAAGCTTCATTTATCCAAGTGAACCTATGCATACAGGGATTAACATAAGTTGTAAACTTACCATAATAGAAAAATACCATAAATGACCTAAACTCCCAAAACATCAAAACAGAAACAAGATTATTGCAGTATCTACATAAGCATGAAACCGCCATAAAGATCATCACCATGTCCAAGGAAATCATGTCGCCCTTCCAAAAAACCAAAATATATTAAACTCACTAGCTTGATGAGAAGTAGGTTGGCACCCTAAAATCCACAATTATGAATAAGCTACAGCTTCAGTTAATAAGCTTGCAACCATCCTATGTTCATCCATATAATTCAAGGACCAACTAAATATAACTCCAACAAAAGAATGTCACTTGAAAATATCACTTAGTTTTCACCTTGAGTGAAAATTTCTTATCATTGAACTCCATCCACCTAAGTGAACCTCATTCCATGCCACGATGAACACATATCAAACAATATTATATGAGAATGCATTTTAATCATTCATGGTTGGGACCGAAAATGATGAAAATTGATCTTCTCCTATCACCTAGCTTTGGAATTCTGATCTCAAAGTGTCAAAAATGAAGAAATTTGATAATTCAGGTTACTGTTGCAGTTTGAGCCATTCTTCACCTTCTTCTGTAACAAGCAGTCATTTTTTTTCCTACCTTATAAGCAGCCTTTTTTTTTCACTTCCTCTTTAAACGATCAGCTTTTCTTCACTTTATTCTTAAATGAACAGTTCTCTTCACTTTCTCCTTAAATGAAAAGCCTTATTCTTCACTTTCTCCATAAATAAGCAGTCTTGTCTTTTTGTTTCTAAATAAAGTCTTTGTATCACAGGCTTAATGCTATATATGCATAAGCAACCCATGTCAGGTTGATTAAAAGACATTACAAACAGGCAGGTGATATTGCAAACCAAGAATAAGCACAAATTCCAGTCAATCATAAACTTCTTCCCATCTGCAAAGAATTTCAATAACTAAAATTCTATAAGCAACTCGAAGTCGATTGCAACAAAACCCGCCCCCATCCACAAATTCTCATCAAGCCCTAATTTCTAGAAGCAAAAGGTACAAAAGTCGCCAAAAATTTATTAAACACAAAATCAAATAACAAGCTCACCAACGTAATCTCCCATGAAGAGATAATTCGTATCAGGAGCATTTCCACCAATCCGAAACAACTCGACCAGATCGTAAAATTGACCATGAATATCACCGCACACCGTCACGGGGCACTTCACCGGCTGCACATTCCATTCTTCCACAAGTATAGCCCTAGCTTGTTCGCAAAGCGTTTTCACCTCCGATTCTGTCAACGGCTTGCACTCCATCAACTGCTCTATCTGCCGATCTATATCCGCGTGCGACGGCATTTTTCCCCTCCCGACCAACTATCCAAGAACAGATCGCAAGCACAAAATTCAAACCCCTAAACCAAAAATTCAGCAATTTACCAAACAAAACAGAAAAACTGAACCGATTCAAAATTGAAACACAAAATCTAGGGTTTGAATTGATTTCACTTGCAAGAATTACACAAGATTCCTCTCCGTTGACTTCAAGTATCAAAATTTCTCACCAAATTTTGCAAAAGACAAAAGAAAAATAGTAATAATAATATGAATCTGTGTGCAGTGTGTGTGTAGAGAGAGCAGATTCAAATGAAACTCAAAAGAAATGAAATTTTCTTTGTGTTATATCAGCGCGTCGATTATCACGCACCGGTGGCTCCGCCGAGTCCAAATCACCTCGTAGATGGTTTCCACGTGGCACTTCTTTCTCCAAGGTGGATGCTATCATGCACCGCTTCAAAATAAGTCAAATCAAGAAAGTCAAAACGAACGACCCCTTTATTATGGTCAAACTAAATCCTTAAAAGTTTATATTTTGATTTAAAATTAAATATTTTATAAAATATTATTTCTCTTTTTAATATATTTAAGAGTAAATTTCAAATTTCGTCCCTTAAATAAAATGATTACAAGTATAGTCACTATAATTTCAATTTCGGTATACATTGAATTTTATCTCTAACATTATTAAGTGGTTGTTCGGTTATGGCTTAATTGGCTACATAACCTATATGGCTTATTCGGTAAGCTATAAACGAGTGTTCGTTTGTGGCTTAATACTACAGCCAGGTGCTTATTCGCACAACCAAGGCAGACCTGTCCTTAGCACTCAACCATAGTTATTCTAGAAGTGTCCCTTATCATATTAAATAGACACATATGCCTTCACCAGGAAAACCTACCAGATCGATCACCTTCTCCATCGTCGGTCATCTCCTCCTTCCTTGTCGCCGGTCATCACCTCTTCCCCTATCGCCGGTCATCGCCTCCTCCCTCCATTGTAGGTCAGCTAGCTCATCATCTCCCATCATTGGTCATTTCCTCCTCCATCGTCGATCACCTCCTCCTCCATCGCTGGTCACCTCCTCCTCCCCCTGTCGTCGGTCATCACCTCTTCCCCTATCGCCGGTCATCGTCTTCCTCCCCGTGACCCCATCGTATAGTATAGGTCTTTTCTTCATCCTTCTCACTCATTGTTGTTTTCTAATAAATGTCGAGAGGTTTAAGTATGATATTTGTGAGTTTCTTCCAAGTCGCATGAACTCATGAAGGACCTTCAGATATTGGTGGGAAAACATCTCTAGAGCAAAAGTTGCATAAAACCCATAACATCTTTTGATTCACATGTATTTAGGGTTTCACTGATTTGGGTTCTTTTGAATTGGGGTTTCATTTGATCTACTTGTTGTTCTTGTTATGGATACCTGATGTAATAAAATTGATCCACAAAAATTTACAACTAAAAAGTCATTTGTTCAACATTTTTATCGAACTGTTGTTTTATTCAAACAAAAATACAGACTAGGAGTAGAATGGTCATTTTTGACATTCTTCAGCACAACAACCGAACAATAACTTATCTGTTAATATACAGACGACTATATCAATACAGATAGTTATATTCATACAAGTCTTAACATAAAACGAACCGAACAGCTCCTAACTTAGTTCAGCTATATCAAAAACCTTTTGATCAATTTACACTTACTTTTAAATAAATAAAAAATATATACATATATTTTATATACACAAACATACAGCTAACCTTCACTGCTTCTACAAACCTTGATCTCCCTCCTCCTACCATATCACCATCACTCAGTCTCCCTCCAAATGCAGATGCAAATATGAAGTGAACAACACCATTATGCACTCCATAAGAATACAGATACAAGTGCAGATGCAAATGGATGGACACCATGACAGTTTTATAGACATTTTTAGCTGGAAACAAAAGAGCTAGTGAACAACACCATTGTGCACTCCATCTCTAGACCTACAAAATCAGGTAACAAACTACACCGAATTGAGATTTCATTGAATTTTGAGAACGAAATGAAATCAGATCCAGATTCGAAGTGGTTTGGACGGAGATTTCATCGAGGGAGCTGCATCCATGGCGAAACCAGATCCAGGTTTCATCGAGTGAGACGATGACCACTTCTTCACACCTGTAATCAAACTGAACGAGGAGGAATCAGAAGAGGTTGACTACGAGTCTACTTGTGGTCGCGGAGCTGAAAATGGATCAACCTCAAGCATTTTGGGTGGAATTTTCTATTTTGGGTATGGGTGTGGAGAAAGAGGGCTCGAGGGGTGTGGTAGAAAGAGCTCGCCGGAATATGTGTGAGGGCTGAAGATGGAGGTTACCGTTGGGTTAGCGCTAAATCTATATCTATCTATCTAAATTAAATTATAATAGAAAATTAGATTAAAGAAATTAAACCAAAAAACAAGAACTATTAAATAGTTAATTTGATATTAATATCGAATTTTTTTTAAAATTCTTATGCTATCTTAAGGAAAATATTTCATTAAAAAATAATAACATTATCGTTTTTTCAAAACCACATAAAATCGTATTATATCGATAGAGATAAATAATAAAACTAAACATTAAAAATCAAGATTTATTTCGTTGTATTGTACGAATACTTTTCTAGTCTTTATCAAATGTATAGAATATCTTTTATTCTTTATTTTGGATAAATCTTGAAATATTTATTGGATTTACCCTTATTATGATATTATAAATGTTGATTTTGGTTTAAATGAGAACCGTAAAACAAATTTAGAACCAAAAAACTAACTTTTAGGTGTATAATATTATTAAGTATACTTATTGATAAAATAAATATATAAATCGTGCAATGCAGCGAGATATATCTTAAATTTAATATTTTATTTTTTATCTCAGTCGATGTTATAATATGGTCTTATGTGATTTTGAAAAAACAATGATGTTTTTATTTTTCAATAAAATATAAATTTGACAAAAATATATCAATATCAATATCAAATTAATTATTTAAAATTCATCATTTTTTGTGTAATTTTTTAATTCAATTTTTTCATTATAATTTAAGTTAGGTTCAATAACGAAGTAATTTATATTTAGTTTAATAATATAATTTTATTATAAAAATAATAATTAATTATTTAGTTAGAACTCGATAATTATCCTAATTATATATTAGATTTTTTATATTTTAAATTGAGATGTTTATCTTTCATTTGATTATGTTTATCCGTAGTTAGTTACACGAATTCAAATATGAAGCTTTAATAAGTTGTACTTATGCATAATTTACTTGTAATCTTGAATTTTAAGTAATATGCATCAATATACAGTACTTTACGTAAAAAATGGTTTTTAAGAGTTTTTATCAAATACTTTATAATATAGTATAGATACTTATTGATAAAATAAATATACAAATTAATATGTTCATCAATAAATATATAGTATATATATTAATGACATTTTTAGGAGCCCTTTACCAAACACTTACCCAGTAAGCAATTACGGGTAAAATTTAAAATTATAATTTACTTACCGAGTAAGATTTTAGTCCACCAAAACGACATCATATGCAGCAATTTACCTAATAAGCACTTACCGTTGTAAGAGTTGTCACTCTCACTTACCGGGTAAGACTATTGGCCCTTGTCTCGCTTTTACCGAGTAAGATTATTGGTCTTTATCATATTCATCCGGTAAAGCAATATGACTTGATAAACGTTTGGCAAATGACCCCTCAATATATATTTATCAATGAATCAAATTATAAAATGGTTTTTCGGTTCTCAAATCATTTTACAGTTCTCTCATGAATCCTCCCTTATAAACGTTTTCCCCTTAAAAGCTTTTTTCATATCTGTCAATTTATCATCCAACAATCCTCATCATTTTCAAGAGCCTCTATAAGAAATTCAGTACAACTCCAGACCTTAAAATCCCGATCCACACCTTGCCGCTTCTGTTGCTTTTATCCATCTCAAAAACTCGAAATGTATAACTAAAAACGGAAACGTGACAGCGAATGCACCCGGTCCCTATTCATGCCCCCAACAAGTTCAGGGCCTACGTATAGAGAACTTGTTGTGTACTCGTTTAGAAAAAACATAACAACAATTATATATTTATATTATTTCATAAATCTTTTGTGTAAAACTCTTGTATTTTAATAGTGCATCTATACAACATATTCAATCCCTTATAACTAGGGGTGCTCAAAAATCTGACTAACCCGATCAACTCAATCCAATCAAACGTGAAATAACTTAACTCGATGTCTAATCGAATTGTAAAGTTTCAAACCGTAGGTATTGGGTTGATATTGAGTTATTATTATTTGAACCCAACACAACTCGATGAACTCGATATCCTTTTATTTCTTGGATTTAATATGACTGTTGAATTTTAATTAATATATACATTTAGACAATTACACTATCATATATGCTCTTCATATACACATATTTTCAATCTGTTCACATCTCTATATAACTCATTCGTATATATGTTCAGTAACTGCGAACATATATGTGTAAATTGAGAAAATTAACTGAATGTGATATATGTAAGAAGTATGGGATAAGTTGTATCAAATGATTGATAATGAAAAAGAAATTATGAGTAGATAAATAATATTTAAGGTTAGAACTTGGAAGAATATTTTAATGTATCACAATATCAACCCGACCAACCCGTATGGGTTGGGTTGCACTTTGGTATGAGTTGGGTTAAAAAATTTCAAACCGTATACATTGAGTTAGGTTTTTAAATATTTTCGATCCGATCAACCCAACTTATGAGCACACTACTTACAATTGAATAGCCCCTAAATATAAATTATTAATGCTATAAAAGTTATGATCTGTCGAGAATTTTTGTCCTACACGACAACACTGTGAAATAACATGTAAAGTTTTGCTTATAAAATGAGTTCCAAGCTTTGGTTTCAAAAGTCTCAATTAAATGTACTTTAAATATATTATTATTATTATTATTATTATTATTATTATTATTATTATTATTATTGGTTATAAGGGGTTATAAGGTGTAAAGAAGTGAGTTCAATATTTATACTATATTATAAATCATTTGATAAAAATATTTTTTATGCTTGAAGTACTGTATATTGATGCATATTACTTAAAATTCAAGAGTACAAATAAATTATGCATAAGTACAACTTATTAAAGCTTCATGTTTGAATTCGTGTAACTAACTGCAGATAAACATAATCAAATAGATGATAAACATCTCATTTTAAAATATAAAAA